ACAACCTTTTTTTTTTCTTTCTGCTTCCCTCCAATAGGCAGATTTTATAAACCAGAGCAGCTGCCTGAGGTTTCCAAGAGAAAATTCTGCACAGTTTCTAACCAGGGTGACAGTTCCCCTCCACAGGAAGTTGCTTTTATTAAGGTTGTTGGGTTTTTGTGTGTGTGGGTTTTTTTGTTTTTTTGTTTTTTTTAATCTATTTTTTTTTGTAAGACTCCATCTATCGGTCATCAGGCAGCACCTTGCCCTTATGGACATTTTTGGTGGTTGTTTTTTTTTTTTTTTTTCCGTTTGCTGGAATTCATGATTACATCTAAACCACAGTAGGCTTGCCCAACACAGGGCAAAGTTGAATGGCCAAAAAGTGGGTCATTCACATGACCTGAGCAGAAGAATCCCAAGTAATTTATGGAGATATTCTCCCAACAAAAGAACTCCCCACACCTTAAGTGGGCTACACATGATGATTTCCTTCCAAAGAGGACGGTATGGAAGGAGATGGGAGGGTAAGACACCTGACCAATGTCGCCTCAGTTGAATGATCAAGGTCAGTGGCAACAGTGTTAAGTCATGCTGATAGCATGTGCTCTTGATATGATGTAATGAGGGACAATTTACCTCCCTGCCTCCCAAAACCCATAACCCCAGCTGAATCACCAGAAAATCATCAGATAAACCCCAGTCAAGGGACCGTCTACCAAATACTTGACCAGTCCTCCATCAAAAACAAGGGAAGTCTGAGAAATTTTGCGGGCCCAGAGGAGCTCAAGGAGATCCAATGACTAATTGGAATGTGGTGTCCCAGGTGGGATCCTGCAACAGAAAAGGGACATTAGGTAAACAAGGAATGAAATCCAAATGAGCTTGGAGTTTCACTAATGGTGGTGTACTAGGGTTGGTTCCTGGGTTGCAGAATGTACCAAAGTGGGGCACCTGGGTGGCTCAGCCACCTGGGTGGCTCAGGTTAGGCATCTGACTCCTGCTTTGGGCTCATATCATGATCTCAGGGTCCCTGGGTTAAGGCCCGAGTTGGACTGCGCTCAGCGATTCTCTCTTCCTTTCCCTCCCCCTCTGCCCTTCCCCTTGCTCTTGCAGGAATGTGCTCGCTCACTCGCTCTCTCAAATAAATAAATAAATGCACAAAATCTAAAAAAGAAAAATGTACCATAGTAATGTCAGACGTTAACAATAGGAGAAACCGAGTCAGGAGTATTGAAAACTCCATGCTATCCACACAACTTTTCTGTGAATCTTAAAAATATTCTAAAGTAAAAATTTACCTTTTTGAAAAGTGGGATTCAGGCAACCCCTAAGACCAGGTTCTTTTTGGTTCCCTCTTTTTTGCCTGAAGCAAGGGTCCAGGCTGCTGACTTTGGCGGTACCCCAGCCCAACCCCCTTTCCATGGAACTGTCATTCTTTTCAAGCCCAACGAAAACTCCCACTTCCTAATGGCTATATACTCGGTGTTTGGCCCATAGCAGGTGGTAAGTTGATATTTGTGAAAATGAATGAAACTTGAGGAGTCAAAGGAGAAGATCTGAGCAGAGAGCCACACTCTTCCTTTTCTTAGGCAAGAGGTCAGTACCTGCAAGTCCCCATCCAAGTCCCCATCTGGAGAAGGAAGACTTCTGGCAACATGGTTAGAAGTGGGTAGACTTCTCTGAACAGGGCCTTTGGAAAACAAGCATTGAGATTTACTTAGGATTGAATTTATCGGGGTTTTTGAGGAGCTGATGACGATAATAGGTAAGCAGACTCCTCCAAACTGCTCCCAGACTCCGCAGTGAAGCCTCCACTGCCCCCTCCATACCCCAATGGGTACTTCTACAAAGAGGCTTCATACAACAAGATCTGTTTTCCAGGTTCTGAAAGTCTACTGCCTGGCACATAGTAGGTACTTGCTATACGTTCATTGGTGGTTACCATTCATTATGCACCAGGCTCTAAGCAGGGGACAGATAAGAGCTCCTACTTAATCCTTTCATCCAGTGATGTTCAAGTCCCTTTCTTTTAAAATTCAATTTGCCAATTTCTCCCTTAGAGGTGCTTTTGGATATTCCTCTGGGTTGTCGACCTGGACAGGACACAGAAGCAGAATCCAGGGAGATGGATGCTTATTTGCAAGCATTCAATTAGTGAAGGTTGAACAATGCAGCCCTGGTGGCTGGATGGATGCTGGGAGGCTTACAGACACCCTCCCCCATCTTGGACTTGTCATGGCCTTTTCCATATTTATTGCCACCTAACCAGATACTTCAAACATATTCGGCCCTTTGTATAATCCGGTATCTGCCCAGTCCCCAAAGTGCCTTCCCAACAAATGTTTACTCCGATGTTGGAGTATATTTAAAAGATTGATATTCCCTTTTGCTGAATGGAGCCCTCCGGAAAAGCCGACTCTGTCTTCCCAGGCAGAGGATCCTGCCTTGGCTGACGGGGTGGCCTCCAGCAAGAACATTTTAATACATCACTTATTAAAGTGGACCCGGAGCCTTGGCAGAGGGCTCCCGTGCTGCCCCTTCCCGGCAGAGGGCAGCTCCCGGCCTTCGCTGACACATCCAAGCGCTGCTTCCCTCCTGACCGCTCACGCAGCTGTCTGCTGTGCAGAAGGCAGAGAGCGTAACCTCGAAACAACGAACCAGCTAAAGGGTCTTTAAGGCTGAAGGACAATGGCTGCAGCTGGGACTGAGCTCAGGTGATTCTGCATTGCCCCCCACCCCCCCACACAACGTCCTGGAACTCAGGCTCTGGGTTCTACTCCTGCTGAGCCGACCAACTAGCCCACAGGCCTTATGCAAGTTACCTCCCATCTCTGAGCCCTGCACAATCAGGATGGGAATAAAGCCAGCTTCCTAGGGCGATTGTGAGCCTGGCGTACAAAGCTCAGCTAGTGTGGTTGTTTTGTGGTCCTTTTAGCCCCTCTGGGGCATCAATCTCTTCACCTACCAGAGAGTTCATCATTGTGGGTTTCCGGAGTTGCAGGATGGATTACACGAGAGAAGGGCTGCACTGTATCGAGCAGCTAAGCAGTAATTACTCCTGGTATGGACCAAGAGGTGTCTTCAGAAAGACTCTTCATATGGCCCCACCCCTCCTGGCAGACTGAGGCTGAGCAGAAGGTGGGCCCTGCCTTGTGCTCCCAGCGTGGCACCCTTCCACTTTCTCACGGGAAAAGCACAAGGGGAAAGAGAGTCGGGCTCTGTGGTGCCTACAGGCCCATCAGCTCCAAAACACTGGGATTCTCTGGGGTTGGCCAGACACAGAGCCAGGTTCAGGAACAGGGTCACACGCCTGGGAAGCTCAAGCTGCCATCCCCGGTCATCCTGCTGCCACCACCAGCTCCCACTTGCCCTCCATTCCCACTAATGGCTGATAGGATGTCCAGCCTCTCTGCTGGGCCCTCCTGAGGCTCAAGGCCTCCACTGCCTGGGAAGGGGCATGAGACATCACCCCCTCCCCCACAGGCCCTCTGGAGCCCCTCTTCCCCACCCCCACTGCCACCACCCTGGGGCCTGTCTTACCTGATGTCTGAGTCACAATCAGGCTCCTGTCACCGTGAGCTGTGTTGTGACTCCCTGGCTGACAGTTTTACAACAAACACATTAAAAACTCCCGGCACTGAGGCTCCTGGATGCAGAACAGCCCCCGAAAAAAAGAAAAAAAAAAACTTCTCCAGGCCTTTCTTCAGCCAAAAACCCTTCTCCCAAACCCTCCCCCCACAGGGACCTGCTCCATCACCATTAACTGCCCCCAGAGCCCCACAAGGGACTGAGATTTTGTTTCATAAGGACCCTCTTTGAGTGGTGATTGGGGGAAACCTGAGACCTACCAGGCTGTGTGGGCCCCAGAAGACGGGGCCCATCCCTTACACAGTGACCTGTTAACTCTGCAATGGCCTGTGAACTCCGAAAGCCCAAGGTGCAGGGGAAAGGGTGTCACGGCTCCTCAGTCCTGCCTTTGAGGACAGATGGCCCCTGGTGAAGCATTCTATGGGCATAGAGCGGCCTATAAAAGAGTGCTACAGCCTGCTGGGTGTGGTGTTAAACCTCCCACAACTCCAGGAGGCAGGAGCTGCCTGACCCCCAGCTCACAGATTTGGAAACTGAGGCTTCAAGTAGCAAGGCAACTTGCTCAAAACCATATAGGTGGGAGGCGAAGGAGCTGGGATTTTAATCCAAGTCCGCCAGCCTCTAAACACTACTCTTTTTAACAAGACTGCCTACCTCCCAACACACGGGACCTTCATCAATCCGTACCCAAGGGGATGGCAGCAACCACAGGGAAGCAGGGAGAGCCCTTTGCAAATCCAAATGGAATGAACTCTCCCTCGGGCGATGGCCCTGCCAGTCTACTGTCTTTCCTGCCATCTGAGCCCAACCCCGCTGGGGGTCCTCCACACCGGGGCCCTCCACACCCCCTTGCTGCCTCCCGGACCAAAGCTACCAGTCCCTCCTGGTCTACAGCCAGCAGACAAAAGCAAGTCCCCAGAAACCAAAGCAGAGACCAGAGAGGAGTGAGACACAGGGACAGTTCTTTTATTGTAAGTTGGAGAAAGAGCCCCGTGTGCTGGTTACAGGTGCGACATCCAGAATATCGAATTAAGAAAAGAGGGAACAGGGAAGGGAAGAAACCTCTTGAGGTCCAAAGTTGCAAACAAAAAGTGGTAAAAGATTTCCTCACGCAAGAGGCGGGTTTTTTTTTGTTGGTGGTTTTTTTTTTTTTGCAAATACCATGCAAAACAGGCAGCTGGTGTGCCTTAAGAGAACCCCTATAAATAACAGAAAAGACACTCCAAGCATTCCTTTACGTGGACTCAGAGCACAGGGAAAAAGAAAAGAAACCAAAATGCCTTTTGGCATTTCAAGATATTTGGCACTCTTGTGATTACATTTTTTTACAGCCCATTAAAGAGAATAAACTGACACAATATTAGAGAAAAAAAACAGGCTGCTCACACAACAGACTGCAGGAAGAGGTTAGAAAGAGCTCAAGCATTTTTTTTGTTTTGTTTTGTTTTTCTGGGTTTTTTTTTCCTGACATATAAAATGTGTCCATTTGCATTAACTTGGGCAAATAGCTTGCAGCAACAAAGAAACACAAGCTTTACAAGTCATTTGAAAATAAAACAAGGATTCTTCCTTTGTATCATTCCTTAGAAAAGTTCTCTTCTTGTTTTAAACACATTCCTGATAACTTCAAATGATGACCAAAATAAAACATAGTATCTATAGAGATCATCTGCTGATTTTTCATACATCCAAGGATAACAACATAAAAAAAAAAAAATAAAACCGGACAGCATTTCACATCCAAGTGCACAGAATCATTTTTGCAAGATTAAATAGTGTAAACATTGGGAACAGCCAAATCAGTGAAGAATGCCAACACCTCAAATCACCCGGTGTTGCCGCTTCATTATTTAAGTGGTTCAAAATCCAGATCTATCATTGCGCAATATTCACTGTATATAAAAGGAAATGGATATTAATTTTGACAAATAGCTGTACTGAGACTTCTTTTTTATTTCTTTATATGTGTGTATATAGTGATTTTTAAATTTTTAATTTTTTTTTTAATTTTTATTTTTGCTGAGGAGCCCAGAGCCTTCTCCTCCTCCTTCTCACGCCTTGTCTGTCTCCCGGCCTGACACGAGATACAGGTTGTTGATTTCATCGTGGGTAGCAAGCTAGTCATGAATTTCAAAGTGCTTTCTCTTTTCATGCTTTTTGCCAATAACTGTTACCGCCGTTCTTACTCTCCCTTAACTCATTGTCTTTGGGGGAGTTAGACACCAGGAGGTGCCTTGTCTGTCATATTTTTCAGCACGTCATCAATCCTATCATCTTCAATAACAACTGCAAAAAAAGGGGGAGAAAAGGAGACGTGAGCGCGCCTGGGCCTCGCCGGGGGTCTCCGATGTCGCCCGCTACGTCCGGGGACTGGGAAATGAGGGAGGCCGAGGGAGGGGGGGGTTCCTCGCGCGCCAACCTCCTCTGTCTCCGCCGGGGGACCCTGTGCTGCGTCCCTTTGAACCGCTCCCCCCGACCCCAGGGTGCGCCCGGGTTCGGGTCTGAGAAAAGGCGGCGGAAAGGGCGCAAATCCCGCAGGCCCGGCCGCAGCCGAGACGCGGACTGGCCGCGTCCTCACCGAACCGCACCTCCCCGGCGCATTTATAGAAAGAAGGCTCGCCGGCAGAAGGTGGAGGGGAGGAGGTGCCAGGGTCCCCCCGCTCGGGGACCCTCGGGGATGCCCCGAGCGCGGCGCGGGTGTCCAAGGCTCTGGGTACGGAGATGCGGGGAGCAAGGGGGCACGCGGGGGGCCGGGGGCCACAGCGCGCGGCGGGTCGCGGATCTGGCCTGGCCAGGGCTGGCGACCCCTCCTGCGCGCCCCCTCCGCTCCGCCCGCCGCGGCAGAGGTCAGAGCCTCCCGGCGCTGCCGGCCTCCCGCCGGCCCCTCCTCCTCTCTCACCGCCTCTACCTAGCCAGCCTCGCCTTCCTCAGTCCCGCCAGCAGTCTCTCGGCGTGGCCGTCACCTGTCGAGGTCTTTGGGTCTCTCTCCGTCTGGGGTGTCGGTCTCCCTCATTGTTTCAGCTGCTTCTCTGTCCTTCTCCGACTGGCGTCCCCGGCTCGCTGTCTCCCGCTCTGGCTCCCTCTCCCGAGCTTTGTCTCGGCCTCTTGCCCCTCTCGGTCTCCCGCGATCCACCACCCGCCTCCACCACCAGCCCCCCATCTCTGCGTCTCAATATCTCCGGGCAGCTATAGGTCCCCTCATTGTCCCCGCGCCTCTGGAGCTCCTCTCCGAGCCTCGCTGCGTCCCAGTCTCCCCCCGGCTTTTCCAGCTCCCGCGCCGAGCTCTCGGACTCCGCCACCCCCTCCCACTGCTAAGTAACAATGAGAAGCCGTGCGCCCCGAAAGCCCCGAGCCTTCCCCGCGGCAGTGGGGTTCCCCCCCAAGCAGTTCTCCACGCCGTCCCTGGGGGAGCCCTGGGACGCCCCCCCGGGTTATAAAGCGAGTGCAGCTGCAACTACACTGCGCAAAAGGGGAGGGGGGGTTAGAAATCGAAAAGCAAACTTTGGCTCGGGTGGGGACCCGGGAATAACCTTCCAGCCCCTGCGGCAGCTCGAGGCCGCCACGCCCCCTGGGTGACCCCAGCGGGAATCAGGCTGAGGGGGAGGGGTTTCCGCGGCCAGCCGGCGCCGGACCCGCAGTGCGGGATCCCCCCAGTTCCGCGCGATGGGATTCCGTTCGGTCGGAACCGGCTCCCGGGTGCTGAAGAGCCCCCACAAACCTCCGCCAGGTCTCGGCGCCCGAGAAAAGGGGCGTCCGGGGAGGGGGCCGCGAACTCACCCCGCTTGCTCCGGCCGATCTGGCCCAGCTTGGGCGGCCGCTTGTTCTGCCCCGCGCCGAAGAAGTTGTTGGTGTCCTGCAGGCGGCAGGAGAAGATCTGGCCCACGTCGCCGCCGTCGCCGTAGGGGCTCAGCTTCTCGTCGCCGTAGGGCAGCACCTCCGACATGGTCGCGTCCGGGGGCTCCGCGGCGGCGCCTCCTCCGCCCGCGTCCCCGCCCGCGGCGGACAGGGTCAGCGGCGCTGGGGCCGGTGGCGGCCGGCCGGGGACCGCCCGCGGGCAGCTGAGGCGGTGGCGCCGGCAAGGAGCCGGGGGACACCGCGGAGGCGAGAGCGCGCCGCCCGCCCGAGCGACCCTGCGAGCGCCCGGCGCTGCGCTGCGCTGCGCTACGCTCCGGCTCGGCGCGCGAGTGGCTGCTGCTCCGGCACGGGCTAGCAGGACTCACATCCTCGGCGCGCTCGGGCGCTGGGCGGGGGCCGGGCCGGGCGGGGCCGCGAGCCGGAGTTGGGGGGGCGGTGTCCCGGAGAGCCCGCGGGGCGCGGGGCCGAGGAGGGCGCACCCTGGGGAGCCCGGCGGGCCGGTCCTGCGGCGAGTGCGGGCGGCGGCCGCGCGGCTTCGGGGAGGCTGACTGGGGAGCGGCGAGCGGCTGGGCGCCGAGGGGCGGAGGGGGAGGGGAGCGAGGGAGGAGGGAGGGCACGGGGGTGGAGGGGAGAGGATGCCCGGAGGGAGGGAGGGGAGAGAGAAACCGGGAGGGAGACGGCGAGAAAAACAGAGGGGAAAGGAAGAGGGAGGCAGGGGAACCGGCAGGGAGAGACCGAGGGGAGGGAGAGAAGAAAGGGGAGGCAGCGACGGGTCCCGCTCGCCGCGGCCGAGGGCGGAGCGGAGAGGAGCGGGGACGGGGCCGGCGGGAAGAGAAAGAGGGTCGGGGAGGGAAGGCGGAGAGTGGGAGCGCACGGAGGAGTAGGCTGGGACGGAGAAGCCGGCCCGCGAGCGAGCTGCGAGCGAGAAATGCCGGCCGCTGCGCGGAGGCGAGGCGCGGGGAGGAGGGCGGGAGGAGGGCGGGGACGAGGGGACCCGGGGCCGCGGGGAGAGATCCCTGGAAGCCGCGCGACGTCACGGGGCCGCGCGGGCCGGCCCGGGCCGCGGCTCGCTTCCTGCCCCCGCCCCCGGCCTTCGCCGGCCAGCCCGCGCCCGGGGCCCCCCGCGAGCCCCGCCCCGGCCCGGCGGCCTCCGGGCGCCTCCTCCCCCCGCTCCCCTCCCGCGGGGTGTTTACCCGGCCTCGAGCCGGTGAGCGCCGGACCTGCCGCCCGCTCAGCCTCCGGCAGGGCGCGGGGCGCGGGGCGGGGGTGGGGGTGGGGGGCCGCGGACCAAAGACCACACGCGGGGAAGGACAGATGGACGCCGGTCTCCCCCGAGGCCGGACGCTAGGGCGAAAGGTCGGAGGGCGCGAGGGCGACCTGAGGACGCAGCCTCCCACGCCGGCCTCAAACCAGGAAGCCCCCTCCCCCCACCACACTGGCCCTCCCGGCTTCACACGTCCGGCGCCCGGCCCCTTGGGCCTCACCCCTTTCCTCCCCCACGGCGATCGCCCTGGAAGGCCCGGCTCCCAAGCCGAGGCTCGGAACTCGGGCTCCCGCGGGGCCTCGGGGTGGAGGCAGAGGGCGGGGAGGGGGCAGCCCCGCCTCCCGGAGGAGAGGGGAGTGCCTCATTACGCCCGGCTCGCCCGGGATGCCCGGCTCTTGGCGTCCACCGCCTCCGCCTCCTCCTCCGGGGACGCCCCGGGCCTGCAGCCCTCTGCCCTGGGGGACCTCCCTGCCAGCAACACCCTCGAGCCCTGGGGAGACACTGCGGCTTCTGTGGCGAGGAGCGGGCTCCCGGTCCCGGGAGGGAGACTGGGGCAGCCCCAGAGGCATGGGAGGCGCATCTGCCAAGCAGATGGTAACTCCGGGGGGGGGGGGAAAGGGACGTGAGGAGGGCTCGTTATTCTCGCCCAGAGCCAACAGCTCTTCCCCTGGAGACCGCCTTCACTCGGCAGAGCCAGTGCCGAAAGGGGTAACCGTCCCCAGGTCGTGCCACCAGCGAAGGCAGAGCCAGGGAACACATCTAGGTCCCCCGGTGAGGTCTCAGCTGGCCCAACCGCTGCCCCAGCACCTGGCCCCACCCTTGGTGAAGGAGCACCCTTAGGTTCACGCTCCCCTTCCTTCTGGAACTCCGCGTGGTGGCAGGTGGGAGGGAAAGGGGTGTGGTTTTTTAGGGACACCACATCTGGTAGAGGGGGCTATGTGAGAGGAGCCAGACCAGCCCCCTCTCCCAACTGTGCAAAAGGGTCCCCTGCCCAGAAGCCAGGCACCCTGGGGAGAGCAGAGGAAGGGGGCTGAGAAACAGGAGACAGAGACAGTGGGATGCATGGGATGGGTGGGGAATGGGAGTGGGACCTGGGTTTGAATCTCTATCCTGTCATTGGCTAGCTGTGTGGCTTGGGACAAGTCACGTCCCCTCTCTGAACTTCCGTTATCTCAGCTGTAAAATGGGGCATTTGGCTGGCTAGCTGCCTGGATGCCTCACAGGGCTGTTAGCAGAACAAAATGAAATCAGGCTCCTGGTGCTTAATGAGTAGTGAGAAAGAACACTAGCACTTCATTCATTCCCACTTCTGAGCTGTCATAGCTGGAAGGATCCCCAAGGGACGATGCAGCCCAATCTCATTGACAAGGGGGCAACTGAGATCCTGAGACAGAGGCTCAGGGGCCTGCCCCAAATCCCACAGCGAGTCAGCTGGTCAGTGCCGGTCTGCAGCTTCCCTTTGCTTCCCTCCACAAGCAGCCCCATTCATGAAGGCTGGGCAGAGTGTCTGCTTTGAGGTTAGCATCAGGCCAAATGCTGGAAGAGAAAACAAAAGCATAACCAGGAGGATGATCAAGTTACAACAAGAAGCTCTTACAAATGTGTCCTGCTTTTCTGTTTTTCCTCCAATGCGTTTCACATCCATGATTGACCTTGCTTCTCAAAATAAGTATCTTCCGAGGTAGAAAGAGGAGACCTCCCATCCCTATCTAACGATATTCCCAGAAAGGGGATAAGTGACTTGCCAAGGTCACATGGAGTCAGGAGAAGCCACTCTTGCCAGCTGTAGTTCCAGGTCCTTGTAGGGGACACTCCACGCAGGGCTGGGACCACCCTACTCATCCAGTTACCGCCTTCCTGCAGAGTTATGAAGCAGTTTACACAATGAGCATCCAGCACAGTCCCTGCTGTACAGAAGTGAGCACAGCAGCACAGGGAGGGCCGAGGAACCCCGCACACACAGCAAGTGAGAGTAAGAAGATAAGCCGGCTTTTAAACCCCATCTGTTTCTAGGTTTTCCTTGCCCTGTTCCAAATAAGGTTAAAGGTGGCTGCATTGCACCCTCCCAGCTCAGTACACACCCCCTTCCTGAAGCACACCCACACACCCACACACACACCCCAGGCACTCAGCACTTTGACAGTTAGAAAAGCATTTCCATGACTGTTACACCCTCGGAGCCTTCCCTTAGCCTTTAGAAGCTGCAGGACTAGGACAGTCAGGCCCATTTTACAGATAAGGTACCTGAAGGTTGACTAGTGTCTTCACTGGTGTCTTCAAGTTCACATGACCGTTCTGCAAGAGCAAGTGTGAATCAGCGTGGCATTTGTCCACGCCTCTACGCCTCCCAGCTGTCTCAGTTACAAATGCCGCACCCATCCTCCCTTCTGTCCAGCCTCCAGTGGGGCATCCCTTTATCCCCAGGGCACTAGACCTGGATGCAGACATAGCCTGGGGATTCCTGCGTTCTCCTCCAAAGCTGAGGGGCTGGCTCTGAACCAGATGCCCAGGGCTCTGTTGAGGGTGCCAGGGCCAGATGGAGGAGTGGACCAAGCAAGACAGGAGAGGAAGCTGCCCTCCCTGCTACCCATCAAGGAAGACTGGCAATACACGGTCTAGTGCAGTAGCCTGGGGTGGGGGGTGGCAGCCTTCCCTGGGGGCACCACATTCAAATCCCTAACCTGGCATTTCCTAACTTCATGATTATTTCACCTCATGGTGCCCCAGTTTTCTCATCTGTCGAATGGGGCTAATAATTATTCCTATTTGGTCAGGAATAAATAACCATCCCTATTTGTTCGGGAAAGGAGCTCATACACTCATCATATGCCTGGTACATAGTAAGTCCTGGATGAACGTACTTCTCATCCTCAGCTATTGACTCTCTTTGTGGCCTTGAATAAGCTGGTGCTCTCCCCTAGGCCTCTGACTCTACATCACAAAATAGAAAACAAAGAAAATCGCATCTTTTTTTTAAACTGCAAAATCAGCCAGTTCTCCTCAAGTAGACAAAACCTCCTTGAGGCAAAAGTGGGGGGGTATCCCCCTCAAATTTCATCTGAAATCTCCTTCAAGGGACCCTAGAATTGGGGGGGCCACAGGACTGGACTACGTCCATGGTCCCTGGGGCACCGACATTCCCGGGTTGAAGTAATAGATCTTGGCAGGTCCCTGCTGTGCACTGAGCCCTACACCAGTGTTTGGGGGGGATAAAGGGAAAGCCAGCCCCAGCAGCACCAGCACAAACCTGGCACAGAGTGGTTCTCTTTCTTTCCTTCCCTTCTCTCCTATCCAGACGGGAAAACCAGGGCACAAGTGGCAGCAGCAGAGAGCGATGGCAGAACTCAGAGAAGAATGAGACCATGGGGAAACTCAGCCTCAGGGATGCCGCCACAGAGGGGAGTGCGGGGAGTGTGGAGACTTGCCAGGGCTGGCTCGGACCCTAGCCTTCCATCAGGACCCTGTGCGAGGTCAATGGCCAACTGGTCACCTCCAGAGAGGCTAAGAGGCCTCCCAGCAGGGCATTGTCGCTCTGAGCCAAGTCTGGATGCCAACTCACGTCACCCCTACCCTTCTCAGCTCAGGGACTGGAACCTGGGTGCAGCCAGGCAGGGCCTCTGCCGCCCACCCCCCCACTCAGGCACATATTCCCAGGGCACACGCCATGAGAGAGAGGCATGTTAATGCATGGACGTGGCTTAGGCCTTGAATCGAAGAACAGAAAGAGAAGAATTCGTGCGTCTCTCACTCCTTCAGCAAACGTGTGTTGAGGACTTTGGTGGCAGCACCGTCCTTCCCCCAGGACAGCTCAAGGGCTCTTTGCTTCTTCCCTTCATCTGTCTAATCACCAAGCCCCTTTCTTCAGAAATCATCTCACAAGAAACCCCAGTAAATAAAATAAT